AAACTTGGGAAATGTGTGATCCAGCCATTATCATTGTCATTTCCCAAATAGATACCATACTCTCCTATACTTTGGGGTCTTATAAATGACCTACCAGCTAGTCACAGATTCCCTCTGAAACCCTGTCTATCCTGTGGAGTCTTGCTCAATTTCTAAGACTCAGTTCATGAACAGTCCCTTGTGTGAATTTTCCTCCAATACACAGACATTCACTCTTGCCCTTTGGTGTGAATATAGCACTCCCTTCTCTGTTCATATAGCACTGTGTGCACATACTGTGCAAGCATTTGTCATATGTAATAATTGTAGTGTATGCCTGTCTTCCCTGTTATACTCTGAGTTCCTTGACAGTAGACTCATTCATACTTGTATACTTAGAACTTAACAGTGACTACTCCATTGATGTGTTCTGTAAGTTATTTTTTTTATCAACTATATATATTTGAATCAGCCACATATATCTGGATGTATTCCTAGATATCTGATTGGAACAAACTATGACGTGGGTTTCTATGACAAATTTCCCTTCCATGGTGTTGAGGTTGTTCCCCAGTTTATTTGTCCTTTTCTGCAACCTATATCAGTATTGCCCTTTCTTTCAAATTGATATTCATCTCTTTATGTTCAAGAATTTACTGTCAACTTTGTGATTCTAGAAGAATAAACCTGTGGGTAAAGTGTTTAATTACTCATTTAGGAGTATGGATTTAGCTGGCTTTATATTTCATAAAGATTCATAGACTGATGCCCCCAAAGAAGAGCTGCTTAGTCTTAATCTAAGTATAGATGAGCTGCCTACTAGGACGACCAAGGGTCTATCCTGTCCAATATCCTAACACACCGCTAACTTACTTTAATTTATAAAAAACTGACAGTAATATAATTTTAATATACCTTTGGACAAGGAAAGCGGAGGTTTAGGGATTATTTTGCCTGCTTGGGCTGCTGTAACAAAATATCATAGGCTGGGTGGCTTAAATAACAGACATTTATTTTCTCATAATTCTGGAGCTAGACGTCTGAGATCAGGGTGCCAGCCTGGTGAGGTCTGGTGAAGGACATCTTTGGCTTGCAGAAGGCAGCCTTCTCGCTGTGTGTTCCTGGCCTTTTCTGAGTGCCCGTGTCTGCAGAGAGAGCCCTGACATCTCTTCCTGGGGCAGTAATCCCATCGCTGGGGCCCACCATCGTGACCTCATCTTAACCTAATTACCTTCCAAAGGTCCCACCTCCAAATATCATCACCTTTGAAGTCAGGGTTTCAACATATGAATTTTTAAGCAGGGGACAAAAACATTCAGTCATAAATGAATGAAACCACCCTCCTCTGGTACTCAAATAAGCCAGCAGCATACCAAATGCTGATTCCAAATACTGCTTGCTTTTTTTTTTTTTAACCTAATAACTTGTTTTTATCAATTTTCATATATGGATACTCAAATAATTAGTACTTTAAAAAGCTCAGTGTGATTAGCTTCACTGATTATTGTCGATGTATTTCTCAAACATGATCTTCCCCCTATGCTTATTTTTCAAATATGTTTATCCTTATTTTTCAACTGTTTTAGTGAAAGCAAACAATATAGGGTCTCTCTCCCTCTCACTCCTTAAAGTTTTCTCCAGAAAAAAAAAAAAAAAAAGAACTGGGCTCTTGGTGCTTCTGGCAATTTTAGTCTAACACAAGCAGCGCCCAGATTGTAATTCTGATAAGTATTTCAGTTCTTTCTTGAAAAATTAAATTCACAAAACAATTGATTATCAGTTATAAATGGCAAAAACACCATCTGGTTTTCAAAATTGGTGAAATCCATGTAGCAAGGGGAAAAAATGTTGGAACTTGTCATTGGCGAGAAGTCCTAGTCCAGGAAACAGAAAATGACGAGCTTTACTATGAGAAAGCCAGAGTAGTCATAACTTGTATTTAGCGGCTGCGGGGATTTGATACGTTCTTCACATGTTCCATATGTTAAGTCCCTTGGCGAGCTCTTCAGTGTGAACGGAGCTGGGGGTGGGAGAGGAGTGTGGTTAGTCGATGGGGTAGCAACAGCTTAACCCCAGATTTTCTGGTCCTTTCCATGGAGACCCAGTGCTAATGATTCTCATGACCTGGGAAATCGAGTGTTACAAGTTCCTTAGTCTTATGACACAGGTGTCATTTTTGGGTGGATGTTTCTAGTGCTATTTGCATTCTTCTGGTGAGGGAAGTCATTCAGCATTAGCATTTCCTACAGAATTGTCCCATGTTGTTCTTTGCCAACTGGAAATTTGAGTAGGTGTTGCTTTGATGTGCCAAGAGAATGAAGGGAGATGAAAACACTCCACATCTTCCAATGTCCCCATACTGTGTTCCTAGTGTGGGAGGACCGGGGCCTGACTACATTCGCTTGGAGATGCAGCCTCCTGAGGAACGCTTTTCCTTAGGAATATAATGCAATCCTGTTATTTAAAAAAAATATTTCTGAGTTGCTGGCATATTTTCACCTTTATGTTAAAAATGTAGCTTTCTTATGCTTATGATGATGCATGCATTATAATGTGAAATTTATTCATTCACTTAACAAATATTTACTGAGGCACAGTATAGCACAATGGTTAATTGCATAAGCTCTCTGCATCTTAGAAACTTTGACCTTGGGGCAATTTCTTAATCATTCTAACTCTATTTAAAAAAATACACACACACACACACACACATAATGGGAGATAATAATAGTTCGTACCATGCGGTTCTGGCTCAAGGATTAAATGAGATAATGCATGGGAAATAAAAATTCAGTAAATGCAGGGCCTTCCCTGTGGCGCAGCGGTTGAGCGCTGGGTTGCAAAACTGCCCTAGGGCCTCTGCGGCGCCGGTTTGATTCCCGGCTGCTCCCCGGCCCCTGGAGGAGGGTCCCACATGGCGCGCAGACCTCTCCTGCCGCCCGCTGCTCCCCTCAGCAGTGTACTTCGGTCCTTCTGCCTGCTCTGCTCCCCGCTCTGGCTCTGGTGAATTCTCTCACCCTCCCGCACTTCTGACTGTACCCAGTGCATGTATAAACAAAACAAACAAACAAACAAACAAATAAATAAAACATGCCTCTATTAAAAAAAAATAAAAAAAAATTCAGTAAATGCAAAAGTAGTAATTAAATAATAGCAAATATTAATATTACTATGTGCTGGGCTCTGTGCTAGGGTACTGGACTTCCTAGGATATAGGACCTTACTTGATAGTTTAAACATGCCTATCATTGTACACATGGCCTTGAATTTTTTTGTGGGACTCTTTTGTATTTAGTAACCATGCAGCTATACTTCCAGAGATAAGGATACCTAGGGCTTTGCAGAGTGGGCATTATCCTGGTGACCATGTGGTGATGGTTTCCTACCTCATGTAGTGCTGTTTGCCTGCTGGAGCTGCCAGGACTTCTGGAGGACTGTCTGCGTTGGGGCCTATAATTACAGAGGAGACTATCCAGAGCTGTAAAGACAGGGCAGTCTTGAAATTAGTTTATGCATAATGGATAATAGGAGACTGTTTTTAAGTATAACTCATTTGGTGGGTTGGCAGATCTTGACTTCCTTTTTGATATGTAACATTTATTTATTTATTTTTTAGCGAGATGAGGACAGAGGGCCTGGCAAGTCACTTGGTGCCGCTCCTCTAGACTATAGCTCAGACTTAGCAATTTACATTCCGTAATCTCTTGGTCATTTAGCCACAGATAATTTGTCATGGTTTGTTTTAGCTGTTGTGATATTGATATTTATTATGCAAATTGTATTTCCTACATCTTATTGTTCTGCATTCTATGAATACTTAAATTATTATAAACCTTTACACTTAATATGGCTCGTCCTTCAATTTGATGCTTGAGCAACAGAGGGTCAGAGCGCACACGATCTTCTAGAGGGGAAGAAAATAAGTAATTAAAAAGCAGACAAACAAGAGAGCCGGCTGCCTGGTTGAAAAGAAAGCAAAGGCAATTTCGGGGAGGCAGAGCGAGTCCGCAGGAGCCAGTGCCTGCAGCTGGGAGCGCCTCTCCCAGAGACCCGGGAAGCTCAAAGCACCTGTTGGTCGGTCCCCAGCCGCTTTGGAAGGCAGTGGGGGGCCAAGAGGAGGGGGTGGTGGGTTTGAGTCCTAAAGGCAGAAGATGGCAGACCCGGCCTCCGCCCTGCACCCCGACGCCTTGACAGAATTGGTTTTTTTGTTAAATGTGTGCAATATGTGCCATTTGCATTAAACACACCTATGCATGAGCGCGAGGCAGGAGACTTTCTGCAAGCTGGGGAGCCAGAACCGCCCTTCCTCGAGCTGCCTTTCCCGAGAATCTACCGCAAAGGCAGCGACTCCAAAATCCCAGAGCTCTGCTCTGCCTCCTTTCTCCCAACTGTGCCCAAGTCTACCGCTAGGTTGTTGAGCCTGCTCTCCCGCTCCGCCGGACGTGCAAAGCACGCATGCACTTCTCCCAGATTGTTTTGTCAATCCGGGGACCTGCATTCTCACGCTTCACTCCCGAGCAGCCCTGGTTTCCCCAAGATCTGTTCCTTCGGTGCAAGGTGAGTGCCGCAAATTTGCAACATCTGATTTCCAGGCCAGATGCACTTGGGGTACAGGGTACAGGGGCGCCTCCTGGGGAGCTACCCCAGGGGTCGGCCTGATAAAGCGATGGCTATAAACATGCCTAATAAAGGTGTCCTGGGAGCTAGACCCGCCCCCTGGAGCCGGGGCCCCCGCACGCCATGCGCCCGGGAGAACACTTTTTCCTTGATCCGGGAAAGCGCAAACGAATAGAACCCAAACATATTTGCATACGCCCCGCCCCCGGCCCCGCCCCCAGGTGGCGCGGGCGCGCAGCCGAACGCCAGCGCCAGGGGGCGGGATGGGGGAGGGGGCGAGTCCTCCGAGAGCCGGGTTGGGTTCGCGGCGCCGTGATTGGTCACGCCCGACTCCGCCCCCAGCGCATGTCATTAGCATCTCATTAGCGGTCCGCTCGGGCTCCGGAGGAAGCCAGCGCCGCCAGTCTGAGGCAGGTGCCCGACATGGCGAGTGCTGTGCTGCCGAGCGGGTCCCCGTGCGCGGCGCCGGCGCCTCCCGGGCTCCAGCTTCGGCTCCTGCTGCTGCTCCTCTCCGCCGCGGCGCTGATCCCCACAGGTAGGTGCGGGCACCGGCCGGTTGGCTCCCTGAATCTTCGCAGGCACCCCAGTAGCCGTAGCCATGGAGGGGGGACACGTTTCCATGACAACCTCCCCCCCACTTCCTAAATCCGAGGCGGAGGCGCGTGGAGAGGAAACTCGGGGCTGCCAGGGCAGGGGCCGAGCGGAATGGACACCCGCGGGGCGCGAGCGGAGCCCGCAGGGACGGCTGCACCCACACCTTTTCCACCCGGCTCGGCGCGGGGTGCGGAGTGGAGTGAGCACGGGGAGCCCGCGGGCTGGAGGATTTGGGGGGCAGGGATGGGTCGAAGACACCCCCAGACCTTCCGGACCCTCCCAAACTCGCCGTCGTCCCCGTAACTTGCAGGTCCTCGCGTTTCCCCCCAGGGCTGCCCCTTCGCCTTCGCCTCTCCAGCGGGCCCCCGATTCTCTCCCCCGCCCCCCCAAGCCTCCCCATGGCTGACTGGCTGCCGCCTCCAGCGTGATTTCTCACTGGTCCACAGGACATCCCCAGACTTGTCTGCTCGCTCGCTCCTGCGCTCCCCGCGCTCCGCCTTTCACCCCCGTCCCCCGAACTGCGCTTCCCTCGTGTCTCTCCCCAGCCGGCTCGCGGCCCCCCGCGCCCCCCGCCCGGTTGCGGGGCTCCCTGGCCCGACGCCAGGCGGGGAAAGTTCCCCGGCCCTGCCCCGCGGGGGGCGGCCGCTGCGCCCGCCTCTGCGGGCAGGAGCCGGAGGTCCGCGGCCCGCGCGCCCCGCGGCGTCCTCGGCGGCGAGTGGGGGCGCAGGACCCCCAGGTTGCCGGTCCTCTTCGGCACCTCGGGGGTGCCGGGGGAGCGCCGCGGCCTCTGCGGCCGGCGGGCACCCCGCGGGCCTCCGCGCGCCCCTGCGCGCCGAGCCGGCTTGGGGACCTGCCCAGGGGCGTCCGTGCGCGCCCGTCGCCTGCCCAGGACGCGGAGCGCGCGGCGGGAGCTCGGTGTGTGGCTCGCCGCTCGCCGGGCGCGTTGGCGCGGTCGGGAAAGAAGAGGGCAGTGTTTGCTTTTGCTAACAAAAGGGAGCCGGAGCTCTCTCCCGGTGGAGAGGCCGGCCCTGCTGCGCCCGGCCTCCCCTTCCCGCCACCGCGGCGCGCGGCGTTCGCGCGCCTCCGGGCTGCCCGCTGCGGGCTCCGGGCGCGGAGTCGAGACCGCCGGGCGCGGGGTCTGGGGAGCTGGCGGGGAGGTGCAGGAGGGGGTGCAGCTGGGCACGGCGCCTGCACGGCCCCTCCTTGCTGTTCGGGAGCGGCAGGACCCGGGAGCAACAAGTGGCGGAGGACACCGCGAGCTCTGCCCCCACCTGCGGCGCCCCCGGCCAGGGCGGGCGCAGTGCTGGGGCCACCCCGCTTCTCCCCGGCGCCTCTCCGCTGGGGCTGCGCCTTTTGTTTACACGCTAGAGGACACACAGTTACGTAAACACCGCAGGAGACACGCTGTAGGATATGGGGGTGTCTGGGGGTGCTGGGTTTCCATTTGGGGGATGCCGGGCTGGTGGCTTCCCCACCCTTCCCCACCAAAGCTTGCAGGGGAGCTCGGCTGGGGGAAGCTAGTGAGGATCCATGTGCAGGGGTGGGAGGGTGGCAGGAGCTCCAATTCCGGAGCAGAGGATTTTTTTTTTTTCCTTGCATGACAGTGTCTCCGGATGTTGTTTGTGTGTGTGTGTTTTTTTTTTTTTTTCCCTCTGTGAATTCTTAATTTATGAGTTACGAGATAATTGGGTTCAGCCGACGCCGGGGTGGTTACAACTTCATTTCGGGTGATGTCTCCGACTGGATGGGTTCAATAAAATGTTCCCGAAAGAGGTCCCTCGTGCTGCTGCATTGCAAAAAGCGCCAGTGCCGGGTAAACGTGAGCGTGAGTAAAGGCTCGGTAACTGGCGCATAATAGAGGCAACAATAGACTTGTATTGGCCGCAAAAAAAAAGGGGGGGGCGGAGGGGAGCTCTGGTGGGGGGATATTGCCTTGTGACTGAAAATGCGAGCCGAGCAAGGCCGCTTAGCAGCAGAGCAGGAGCGGGTTCTGCGCCCACTGTCGAGCCTGCTCCTGGGAGGCTCGGGGTAGTAGCAGCCGTACTATATTTGTAACTATCTGGCGGTGAGAAGTTGCCTTCCCAGCGAGGCATGGATGCTGACTTAGAAAGGAGCGGTCTGGAACTCAACCGTGCATGTCAATGCTACAAGAAAATTCTGTTGCCAGTTACCATGGAAGCAGCTTCTTGCGCTTGTGTACATCCCTGTTTGTACGCTGGTTATCAGATTGTGTTCAAATTAGAAAGTAATTGGGTTTGATTTGTAGTGAGGGGGTGAGATGACTTTCTTTAAATGTTTTCTTTTTTTCTTTTAATGCATTTTGTTTTGTGATGAGCGAGAGAAGGGGTCTTGGCCTCGCCCCACGTTAGGAATTTATTTGGAGAATAAATTTCATGTGGGTACGGGGAGACTTTTTTTCTTCCTTAGCCTTCTTGGTTCAAGCTTTCTCAGAGGCCTCCAGTTCCTACTCACAGGATTAGCGAAACCTGTTGGTGCTGCCTTCTAACTTCATTAGGCCTGATCCATTTACATCCTTCCTCGGAGAGCCACCGAGGACCATTGTGCAGTAGGTCCTGCTTTCTTTCCCTCTACCCCTGAATCCATCCATTCCCTGGGGGGGGGGGGGGAATCTCCTATCCCACCTGTATGTTTGGCTGAAATGGGGTGTTAATGCAATGCAGCTAAAATGGGGTTGTATAGGCAGCCCCTCTTTGTAAAATCATGCCTGTTCAGGTGCATCGTGATGTTCCTCTTCGCCAGTGGACCGAGGCTGGCCACCCTGCACTTACCTTTTTCAGGGTTAGAAAGGATGGATGATGGGTGGGGGCCGATGGCGGGGTGGAAGCAGGGGGGCTGAGTTTTGCCTGTTGTGGCCTGTTGGGGCTTGTACACCAGGATAGGGACTTTACAAAAGTGCCGCCTGCTATTGTTGCCTTTCCCTGCATCAAATTGAATAGCCACAGGAGGGACTTGCACTTGTCTGTGATAGCTTTGATAAAATATCCCTCATTAATGCCACTTTATATTTACAGTGTGTCACCGAAGACGCACAAGGCTTCATTTAGTGACTTGTGTGACGAGACAAGCTTGCATTATTTGCCTGGGACGTTTTGGAGGAACAAGAGACCCATTGAGCAATCTTTTGAAATGAACAAATACGGAAAAGGGGGGAATAAAAGAGCAGGCAGTTCTCTGGAACAAAGAGCTTTATTCATATGGATGTTGTACATGCTTTATCCCGTTCTCCCCAGTGGCCCTCCTGGTGACGGGGAGTGGGCCTAGGAGAAGCCCATGGACAGGACACTTGCACTTCCTCTCTTACTTATTGACTTCGTCCTCTTATGGACTCCCTGACTGCTATCTCCCTCTGCTCCCTCTAAAACCCCAGAAGGTAACAACAGGTTCCTGGGTCTAAAGGGAGATTTTGCCATCCTTTCTCCCGGCTCTGAATTTCAGCAGAAGAAAGTGCTAGCTACCTGTTGAGATTGATGTTCCAGAGGATATATTGGTTGAAAGGAAAGAGATGTCACTTTTCCATGACATGTGTCAAGAAGTGGTTGATAGCGAATGTCAGATTGGTACGATGTCTTGTAATTATAGTATTAGCCTTACTATTTATTTTAAAGAAGTGTTTTGAGAACTAAAATCCAAAATGTTCATTATTGTTAAGGTGCTCTTGGTGTTTTTAGTGACTTTTGCCTACACCTGGTCCATTTTAGCTCCATTCATAAGTTCATTTTTATTCTTCCTCCGACTAAGTTACGAAATGATTTTCAGCTGTAAAAATTTATAATATTGCCGTGAAATGTAAGCTGTCTTATTCTCTGGGTTTTTGTATGTGACATTTTAATGCCTAATCGGTCACTTAGAATTTACATTTTCAAAATGTGTGTGTGCGCGTGTTTAACAAAAGGCCCATTTTTGTGTGTGGGATCTTTTAAATTGGATGAAACTAATTGAATGGAAATTACCAGCATATGAAGAAAATTTATCAGAAATAAGTCCAAAGGATTCAAATGCTGTCTCTCTTTTTGGGGGAAGAATAGTACTGACCATTATGCTGGGTGTTTTTAACTGAAAATCCGGCACAGAAAGGAGAAATCACACAGCGACATCTGTTGCAGAATTGAAAATTTGCTGCTTTGAATTGGAAGCAATTAGTCCCATATAAGCACTTAATGGCATTTGTGTGTGTGTGTGTGTACTCATGCACATATGTCTATATATGCACTTACATATATGTCTATATGCACATATATAGAAACTCACCCAATATAATACTCATATTTACATTTAAAAGTATTTAATAGAAAATCTATCATTTTAGCAGCAAAGCACTTTTTCTTAATATTACCTGTTCAGGAATTCTTATGATCTTGGAATTTCTGAAACGGGGAGGGCATTAGAAAACATCCAGCAAAATCCTGTTCTTTTGCATTGAGATACACGAAGCTCAGAGAGAGGAGAACCTTGTTTTATGGCGGATCCCAGGTTGAGGTAGCTCAGATCGTGGATGGGAAAAACAGGCTCCTTGATGTCCAGCCGGGGGACCTTCTGTTCTACCTCGCGGCAGGGATGCCCTTTGAGGAGTGTGGATCCTAGGTAGACAACATCTTGGCCAGGAATAGTTTGTATTCCGAAGGCAGAAGATTAATTGTTGCTCTAGGTAATAAACCCTTGGATCAGAAGAGTGACCTCTGGGAAGAAAGGACCCGTTCTTGGTGAGGTTGTCTTTGGTGTTGACAAATGATTCTAAAGCCTCTGGACTTCATTTGGCAGCTGCAACACAAATGTCGTCCAAAGTACCTTCATAGGGGAGAGCCCCGGGTTTGTGTCGCTGTAATAATTCAGAGGTGCAAAACACAGGCTCCAGTAAGCTTTTCACTTTTTTTTTTTTCGGGGATTAATAATAACAGTAGAACTGGTTCCACATAACTAAGG